CCACTCCGACGACTCTTTTGCACTCACCGAGACTCTCTTTTGTCCGGGTGGAGTGCCATCCCCTCGTAGGGTGCACTCCAGGAACTCGTCAACGATCGTCAGTCGTCGCCCACTCGGTGCGGTCGCCGGGTTCCTTCGTCTCTGAACGAGTTCCCAAACGAAGGAGTCGAGAGAAAAGGGCATGAAAAACGCTTGGAACTCAACCCGGAGAGGTCCACGACCGGGGCTACTAATTTTAACGAACCCCCTCCCCCCCTTGTGACCTGTTGTTCCAGACTAAGGGTCGACAAACTTGACCCGGGGAAGGGTGCAACGACAAGAATTTTCAGCGAGACAAGAATATCGACGATATTATATAAAAATGTTGCGGAAAGAAATTACATCGATGGAGCAATCCTAGCAGTCCCTGCCTCCGTCGCCGGGACACTGAATGGTTAATCGAGGAGCGTACGTATATAACGGAAGGGTTACTCGAACGCTTGCGAGAGCACGACCCCTCTGGCGGCGAGTGCAAGAGGTGTCACCACACGCAGTTACTCCTCCACTCGTATTCGTACATTACAACGATGATTCTAAGCGAAAAGAAACTCGTTTCTTATGAATTATTCCCATTTATTTATAGTTCTAATTATTATCCACGCCTTCGATTTGAAAAGTCTGTATTCTCAATCGAACCTGGAATGTTTAGTACGTGTTTGATCAGCGGGGATCGCCCATCGTGTACAAACCAGTGTTTCTCAAACTTTTCTGGTCACAGAGCACAGAACTCGATGAACACACAAACCCCTCCCATAATTCCTTCGCCCCTAATATTTAACCGTCGAAGGCGGGGCTATGAATGTCATCTCGACGCGTGAAACAGCAAACTAATGAGTGTCCCCGGGAATAAAAGAGCAGATTAACGCTTTACCGATCGGTAACGGTACTGCCACGTCAGCCATATATGGGTGACAGGATTTACCATTATGATACTAGAAAAATTAATTCTCATGTTAAGACGTCGAGGGAAATAAATTTGAACAGAGTTTGTGAATTTTAACAAGGTTACGGAAATAAGTAGCGAAACAAGTTTTAGGTTATGTAGGTTACAATGGTCTAAAATGAAAATTTTACTTGTGCAGAATATTATACGGTTTTGATCTAGCAGTGAACGTGTTAACAGGTTAGCAGTCGGTAAGCATTGGCGTCAGAATGCCGATTAATAGGCTATCAGTCGGTAAAGGAGTTGAATTATTTGAGATGGAAGAGGGAGCAATTGCGTCGACAGAATCTGACGCGGAGAAGGCGAGTGGATGACATAACCTACAAAAATTAGGTGCAGACGGGTGTAATATTTCCAGCGATAATGTGTTTTTAACCGCGTTGGGCGTGCAAATGGCCCATTGCGCGGCGCAGTGACCAACCGGCAAATTCACGCGGCGCACCAGTGAACGAGCGTACACAGAGAAGGATATTTTTAGATTTTTACGAGCCATCGAACGTCTCCCTCCATTGTGATCAATTTTGATTCGGAAGAGCAGCCCGCGGGAGCTCCGCAATGGACTTTATATCGAGACGTACTTTCCCCGCACGAGCACGGAATCCCCCTATTTTGCGAGCTCCAAGGGAAGTCGATAACATCACGCAAAGGTGAAGGTGCTGAATTAACTAGCTAGGTTAAGGACGAGATTTTAGCCCCGCGAATGCGGGTCGCCGCGGCATTTGCCATGAACCACTTAACCGTTCGTTCGTTTCTTCGATTACTGACGGCGACGTCCACCGTTTCGCGTCGCGGTTTCCGGCCGTTTCGTACGTCGCCGAACGCGGGCTAACGAACGACGAAGTTTCGCCTCGGTCCAAGGAGCTTTTCAAAGGCTTCCAAGAAAGCTTTGAAATTTCCATCGAAAGGCCTCGATTCGTGTCTACGATCGATCTCCTTGGACGTCGCGTTGTTTCATGAACTTTACCCGCGAATTCAACAAAAATCGAGGTTAGAAACAAATCTTTCCAGCACGAAATTCGTCGTTGTACACGCGACGATAAAATAATTTTTCGTGTGAAGAAGACGGTATCGGAGTAGTCATAAATTCTCGAACCGTGTCTCTTCGCGCGATTCGAATCGTCGTCGCGAAGGATACGAAAATATTACATCGAAGATCGATTTATTTGTCTCGGAAATCGCCGCGAGCGGTCGACCACAGGTGCCGCAAGACTTCCGGCCAACTCGGGAACTTATTGGCAAGTTCGCGGCAGAAAACTCGAGCGACAAGTTGGCGGAACAAGAGACGAACCGATAGGAAAGAAGCGTGGCTCTGGAACGGAGATTAAGAGTTTCCAACTTTTTTTTCTTCGTCCTGTCTTAACCAGCTAATGGGGATTAGGGAAACGATTTTTTCGCGTGGAGTCGAACAAACGAGACCATCGAATTCGGGGCCAAACAACAATTAGGTTCCTCCAGTCTTTCACTGCGAGCTCAAAAATTTTTGGTGTAATTGGATCAGCCTTTGAGAAATAATTTGTTTAGTTGCTCAGTGAAAAATCATGTGAACCATATGTGGGTCAATGTGTTAATATTGTTAGAATTAAAATTGGATAGTGTGGCCACACTTCTCACAATCGCCACCAGAGGGCTACGCCTTTAACTCTCTCGCAAGTGCTTGGCCAACTATCTATTCGTATATACTGGGTGTTCAGCCACCTTTGGGAAAAATTTTAATGGGGGATTCTAGAGGCTTCGTTAAAAAGTTATTAACATTTAAAGTTACGCCAGTACTGAATTTTTTTCTCGAAAGTGGGTAGGCTTTCGAGGGTATGTCTATTCACCAAAAATGATTGTAATTGACCCCCGCAACCGAAAATAATTTTTTCAGAACGATTTGAAATTTTTTAATTTTGTCGAAAAATGTTGACATATTCTCGAATTTTTTTCTCGAAAATGCGTAGGAATTCGGGGGTATATCTATTGACCAAAAATGATTGTAATTGACCCCAGCAACCGAAAATAATTTTTCCAAAACAATTTGAAATTCTTTTTTCCGTCGAAAAATTTCACAGTTTCTCGAATTTTTTTCTTGAAAATGGGTAGGATTTCGGGGGTATGTCTATTCACCAAAAATAATTGTAATTGACCCCCGCAACCGAAAATAATTTTTTTAAATCGATTTGAAAAATTTTTTTTCTCCCAAAAATTTCAGCACCTACACGATTTTTTTTCTCGAAAGTGGATAGGAATTCTAGGGTATCTGTAATGACCAAAAATGATTGTAATTGTCCCCCGCAACCGAAAATAATTTTTCCAGAACGATTTGAAATGTTTCAATTTAATTGTTAATAACTTTTTAACGAAGCCTCCATCAACAAATTAGTATTCTTGATTTTCGTCTTATTTTGGCCTCTAGAATCTCTCATTAAAATTTTTCCCAGGGTTAGCTGTACACCCTGTATACGCTCCTCGATCGACCATTAAGTGTCATGGCGTCCAACGCAGACTCACGACTAACTAAGTTTGAGAAGAGAAAACGACTAAAAATAATTAAAGCAGTAACTTAAATAAGATTATAACCTTCTACCTAGAGCTTCGATCGTAAAAATCCGTAGTCTAAGGCTATTATTCCGATATATCTCGGACACAAACTTTGGTACTTATCGAATCGACGTTATCTCTGCGCAAATAGCGATCCAGCTAGAAAAGAACAAGTCTTTTTCTCCAGGGAACTATAATATATAGTTTACAGTAATGGATGTCCAGCCCGGGCAACGTGTACCAGTGCTTAAATAAAAAGCCAAACGGGAGGGGGAAAAAAGTAGTGGTAGGCGTCAAAGTTAAATGAGCAACGAGCTCGAGGGAAACTTGTTATTTTACGACGGACTAATAATGCGTCCGGCGTGGTATTCACAGTTCGTCAAACATCAAAGCGGACGGAGTGTAGCCTCTTTGCATGAAATAACTTAATTTTCATGGATCCCCCTCCGACGGTGAGCACCTTCAAGGTTCAATTTGCTTCGCCAGAATACATTTCCAAAGCGGATATTTCATCACGGGCCAATTCTTCGCCGAGATCGCGTCCGTAGGCCGGGGCGAGGGTAAACGTCCGCTTCTAACTTTACGACCTTCGAGGTTGATCCCAGAATTCGGTACTTGGAGCTTATTTAGGAATACGGAGGCTCTTTTCGCGCTCGCGGCGAACCTCGTCCCGGGAAAGGGAAGATTAATGAATCCGCAGGGAAACTTCAAAGGGGCCCTCGAACACAAGTTCACGATCCACGAGAAATCTCGAGCAGAACCGATCGAACTGAATATTGCAGGTCACGTCTCGGTTTCTACGTTCGTTTCTCTCTCCGTGCTTCTTCCTTCGATCCTTCGAGTCCGTTTCCTCCGCGATCACGTCTCCGCCCGGGCGAATTTAAATTTAAAACGAAACAAAAGCGTGGCCGGAATATCTCAATATGGCGCGTCGCGTTACCGGCTTTCCGTAATCAGGCGCTTCCGCGAGGAAAACAAGTCGTCTTAAGGGCGTTGGAAAAATACCAAAGACCTAGAATTCCGTGTACGAAAACCACCCCCTTATATCGACGATTATAAATAGCAATATAAATATCTCAAATATCTTATTATTTATATAATATGACTACTATATTTTTTTTATTTTTAATTTTATTATTTCCAGAGTCTTACGATATTTAATAAATTCTTATCTACGGAAAAATTAAAAAAAATGTAATAAGTCTATTTTCATAGATGGCGTTGCTTTGATACTTGCAAACTTTTATTTTTCCAAAGACAAGCGAACTTATTACGCAAGTGATGTTCCAACGATGCCTCCTTCTATCGTAGAAAACTTTATTCGAATAATTACGACTAGTTTTACCGGGTAGAAAAAAAAATTCACGAGACTCGTCGTTTGAAAGAAGTCGCGGACGGTTGTAAACGCCTGATTGTGTGCGGCCGCGTAACGAGACGGATAATCCGAAAGCGAGGGAAACAAACGATTCACGGGCGGACAAAGAACGAGAGAGCTTACCTTAACGTGAGATATTTGGCTGGTCGCAATGGACGAGGCAGGCTGTTGCTGTTCGTTGTGCAGGTTTTTACTTCAACTTTCGCGGACTCTCATCTTCCTTCTCGCCGCTTCTCATCCACTTTCGCGAGGCGGAAAGGCCCCTTCAGTGGCTCATGGCTGCTTTCAGCATCGACCGGTCGTAACTGCCATCTGAAAAAAATACAACGAGACTAAGACTTTCGAGCGTGCTCGTTTCCCTTCCGCAAACTCCAACCGGGGGAATCGCAAACGAGGATTTCACGGGTGTGTCTCTAATTAATCGAACGAAAACTCCACGATTCTCCACGAAAACAAAACGCAAACTACATAACCTAAAATTTTTTCTGATACTTATTTTTGTAATTTTCAATTAATCAAAGGAAAACTCTACGATTCTCCACGAGACCAAAATGCAAACTACATAACCTAAAATTTTTTCTAAAACTTATTTTTGTAACCTTTAATTAATCAAACGAAAACTCTACGATTCTCTACGAAAACAAAATGCAAACTACATAACCTAAAATTTTTCTTAGTACCTATTTTTGTAACCTCTAATTAATCGAACGAAAACTCCAGGAAAACTCGACGAATCTCCACGATAACAAAATGCAAGCTACATAACCTAAAATTTTTCCTAATACTTAATTTTATATTATGAAGGGGGTTTGCTCGTCCCACCGCAGCGCCATCTTAGTATGCGCCATGTAGTCGTGCTTAGGCGTATGCTTATTTGAGTTTGCTCTTTTTATGCTTATTATATATCTGTATTATGTGTCTGTATTATGTGTGATAACTAAATATATATTGAGTTATGTATGCAAGTGGAATTATTCAAAACCCCAACATATTAATTAATCGAACGAAAAATCTGCGATTCTCCACGAGACCAAAATGCAAACTACATGACCTAAAATGCTCTCACGATTTATTTTTCAAACCCCACTCATATTTTAGAGATATAAAGCAAGAAATATGAAACGACAATCGTGTAAATAACGTTCACGTTAAAAACAAAATGACAGTTTCGATTATCCGAGGACGTAGAGAACTGAAACACTGAATTCACGTACGCGTGACAGCGGCCGTCAAAGGATCGATGCTCGAGAATTGTGCAAGCTCAGAACCGGCTACGGTTCCAGAATAAGGTCAAACGCTTGTAAATTTTATGTTCCGCGAACGAAAAGTACGTCCATAAAATCTGTACGTTACAAAGCACACACACACAATAAATCTTGAAAATCCGGGTGCACGACAATGTCGGCAGTAATTTGAGATCCTGGAATCTCCGTGACCCTCGAGTGTTTAATTTTAATGCGTCTTAATTGAAGATTAGCCTAGAAGGGTTAACAGTGGCAAATGGAATCCTTAAATCAGCCGTTACTTTGCGTCGTGGTTGCGGAGTTTCTGGCGAAACAGGGGTCGAAGGGGTCAACGAACGAGAACTTCCGGCGAGAACGGAGTTCCGTTGGTTGTTGGTTGGACAGCGAGGAACGATCGAAAATGGAACGACGTTTGGGGGAATTTGGTTGCACGAGGTTAGAATTCGACGAAGACGGGATCGCAGATTTTTCGCGCGGTCGCAACGCCAAGTCGCGCCAGATCCTCGGAATTGACCGACCGTCGGGGGTGTTGCCAGGAACCTAACAGCGTTCAACCTTGGCCCCGTGGCCCGATTCGTGCACGCTGCGTGCTAAGCCACGCTGGGCTAACCGTTCGTTACGTCTTCGAAAGACTGCGGACAATTAGTCGACGCTAGTCGTCGGACAAATCCAATTGGTCGTGAATTATCTACCCAACGCGTCCACCAATCGGATATCAAAACTACTGATATTAAAATTCACTAATTTTACAATTAACAATACTAATATTTACATTCGTCGAGAGTTCATCGACTAGGAACAAATTGAATGAATTCGCCACAGTTCTTTTTCCGGCCGGTCCAGTAATTAGCTCCTTCGAGCCGCCAACGATTGTTAACACGGACCGCGAAAGAAAGTTCGTCGAACAAAAACCTTTCCGGGGTCCACCTGGCTCCTTTTCCACGTCGGATCCGAAAAACTCGACGCAAAAATTTCGAAAGTTCTTTCATTACTCGAAATAGCTCCAGAGAGCCTTCTTCCCGGGGATGAGGAGGCGGTTGTAAACTTTGACGGAACTTTATTGGAAAGCCCGAATTTTTACGGAACCTCGACGCAGATGGCGGAATGTTGGTCAATCGATGTCGGAAACGACGACGCCATAGACACTGCGTTTCCCTCGTTCGTGGATAAATCCCCGGGCTTTATATCCGTGGATTTAACCGGTTCAGATCGTGTTGTACATCGAATATCCTTTATTCGACGAGGGTATTCGGAAATACAGGCTCTCCTCTGACGTACGACCCTTTCGAATAAACGGAATATGCTCCGGGGCGGCCTGCATTTTCCGCCATCAGCCGCGCCGCCGATGCTCGTTGCATTTTTAAACAAAATTTCACGGATGCGTCGGTAAATGGAACGGGACGAGACACGACGGTCGAAAGCGCCCGATGAAAATTCTTCTCCTAACGGGATTAAATATAATTTAAACGATATTCCGTCAAGGGAATTAAAACAAGCTAGTTTTCATAGTGATTCGATCGCCCGGTCGATCTTTGTTCGCGCGATACAGCTTTGTTGTTCCTAACCTATTTGCGTCGAGTTTTAATAAATTCTACGAACAAGCAGTTGTCGATATAATTAAAAAAAGGGTCGAAAAATGTTAGTTCCAACGTTCGAGTGTACGTCGCGCGAGGAAATATGCTAGTTCTGAATACGTACGACGATGGAAAAGAAGTTGCGACGAAAGAAGTTTAATTGCTTCCAGGGAAACGGTAACTCGTATGTAAGTCAAGGGACTTGGCGATACCGTTATCGTCTATAGGTGACAATTGTTCTCGTTTCGTCGCTGGAAAACTCGCAGGACGAGTCGCGTCGACGTTTATTACGCTATACCTCGCGCAAAAGTTCGCGAAGAAATACGTATACAGTCTAATATTCGCCTGACACGTTAACCTTGTTTCGCCAGGCGTCGATGTACGCCCGGCGAATTCTATTCGCCGATTCGTAAGCTTTGGAAACGTTTCCCGAGCTATTTTACGCGTCAACGTGCCCTTGAGTCGACTAAGGCCGAAATTGAAAAAGAATAGTCACCTCACGACAATATTTTTTCTTGTCTGGCTTCTGCGAGTCAACGTCTCGTTCCCACGTTACAGCGACAGCGAAATTCGACACCGACCGTTGTTTGGACACAACGATGGCATTGAGCCTCGAAGTCGAAGGAAAGGACAGCGCGCAAGAACGAACAGGAGCGAGCGAGAGAAAAAATCCAACGGTCGTCGAAGAAAAGGACAACGTCTGAGAACGAGCGAGAGCGAATGAGAAAACTACCAACGGCTATCGGAGAGAAGGACAGCGCGTGAGAACGAGCGAGAGCGAATGAGAAAACTACCAACGGCTATCGGAGAAAAGGACAGCGTAGGAGAACGAGCGAGAGCGAGTGAAAGAAAAAATCCAACGGCTATCGGAGAAAAGGACAGCGTGGGAGAACGAGCGAGAGCGAGTGAAAGAAAACTACCAACGGCTATCGGAGAAAAGGACAGCGTGGGAGAACGAGCGAGCGCGAGTGAGAGTAAAAATCCAACGGCTATCGGAGAAAAGGATAGCGTGGGAGAACTAGCGAGAGCGAGTGAGAGAAAAAATTTAACGGTTGTCGAAGAAGAGGACAGCAAGATTGAACTGCTGTTGAAGAAAAGGACAGCGAGAATAAACGGTAGACGAAGAACACCGTATCGTTTCGTCCGTTTTAAAATGAACGATTTAATGAACCCGTTAACGTCCGTGGCTTGTTTAAAGAATCATTACTGTATCATTAAGAATCATTCGTTCATAGATCATCCACGGAACCGAGTCCTTTCGCCGTATCAACGCATACGGTCTCGACACACGCGACGTTTCCTACGCGAACACGTTAGCCCGGCATTAATGCGCCACGGTGTTCCGTGACTCTGCTGGTTATCGTTTAATATTCACATGCTCGTGACACGACGCGGACGTCGAGTACGCGTCCCACGCGTCCAGCGTTATACCGCGGACAACAAATTATTTCGCGATGCATCTCCCGGTACTTTGCATTATAATATTAGACAAGCTTTTTTCCCCCGCCCCGGAATGGATGCTTTCGATCGTTAACCAGATCATCAGATACATAACGAATTAACAAAAAGCGTGTGTTTATGGCTCGCGACACGAACGGGGTGCGTGCAAAAGTTTCGATGGATTCTGATGGAAATTCTCTTTTTAAACTCCGAGCTGGAAAGTGAGATCTCAATCGTTCAAGTTTTTACCTTCGCGAGTACTTTTTTTTTTTTTTTAAAGACTTTATCCGTTGAATAAGCTAATATTGAAGAAAAGTTAAAGAAAACGGACTTAAGCGGATAGGAACGATACATCCGACGACGGATCGATAAAATTATGCGGTCGGAAAGGGAACCGTCAACCAGCAACGTCCGACAGTCGGTCGGCTATCGATCGAGAATGCTATTTTTGCGTGGGCGTCCCGTTTTCCGTAATAACGAGAATAATGCTATGAAAACCATCTATCGAGTTGTTGATCGGACTATATCCTCTCGCTCTCGCTTTCGCGAAGCCCGTTAATTTACTTCCATGGAGCCGTGCAATGGCCATTCGGGTCTCGGGATAGTCGCGATTCAAGGATGTCGAGGAATCGTACGCAATCGACTTTTCAATTACCGAGATTCGAGACCAGAAACAGTCCGTTTACGAATCGTTACACCCTTTCTCCCTAGACCGAATTGAATCGAATTATTTCATCTGAGCGGAAATATCCCACCGGGTTAGAAAAAAGACGAAATATACGAAGGACTATTTTCGATCGATAAAAATTTGCATCCCATACGGATAAAAAAATTTATTCGCGCCGCTGGATCCAGCTGCAGAAGCGTCAAGCTTAAACCGATTTTATTAAAGCTAACAGCGAAATCGATGGAACCGATTAATCGTTCGCTTCGACGAAATAAATTCCCCGGGTCGCCAGTTTTTACTTTACCAGATCCTGAAAAATTACTACGAGAACGAAACGATCTTTCCATTCGCGACTTTCGAAGACGCCATTCATCTCGCTCTGTCGAG